CATACTCCCTGAAGATCCTTAAGAGTGCGCTTAAGCGTATTAAGCTCTAACACCAGGACGCCAACCAAAGCGGGCACGGCAAAACGGCAGGGTGTTTTAAAGAAGTGCATTTCAGAGAAAAGATGAGTTCTAACCTGCGGCGTTCTGCAGACAAAGGAAGAACTATGTTTAAATATAACAATACAAGGGATTTCGGATTTTAAATATATATTTTACATATTTATGTAACGCACGCACACACGCACTTTGCACCTGGGGGTCGGCAGTTCCATCAGTTAGTGTGAAATAAAGAGTAAGATCCATTTAAAATGGAGCAGCCTTTCGCATTCCTCTGAAAAGGTTCAGGCACGACGTTTCAGATATTTCAATTCAAGCTGATTTTATGGACATTTGAACTTGAAGGACACTTGAGACTCCCACACTGCGCTGGGGAAATGCTTCTGTGCCTGACAGTCATACTTTCAGTGGATGCCCTTGGCATTTCTTCGTTTCTGAAGCAGTGGCGCGATGCAATTCTTTTGAACGATGAAAGTTTTATACATCCAAATGAAGGCGAAACTGTGATAAATCGCATTATAAAAGCACAAATTCATTGCCGCTTACCATTGATCCGCAGACCAATCTGTAGGCCTACATTGCGATTAAATTTGCGGGGAAAAACAGGAACCGTTTCTACCGATTGAGATTAAACGCTGTAACAGATCTCTTTACGACGCAGAACAAGAAATCATGCAATATAATTTATACGCAGATGTTTTAGCAGAATGCCAATGAACCTGAAATATCGTTGACTCCTGGGTAGAGCATATTGAACATGTGGTTACAACGTATTGGCGGTGTAAGCGAGCACCAAGCGACTTAGCATTACCGGCAAATTTATTAAATACATCAAGTGAATCGCGATTTTCAAAGCATTAATTAAAATGGGAATTGACGTTATCACCTTTTAAAATGAAATCATTATGCATGCCATGTATTATATACCAGTAGAAAGGTGTTCATTATTTACATTGTGACTCTTAACCAAAGGCAATTTGCAATTTGAAATGACATATGCAGTCATTAAATTCAAGGACAATAATTAAGTCACACGTGCCATTTCTTGACGTTTGATTTTCTATATGCCACTATTATCTGTACAGATAAGGGAATCTAACCCAGAACACTGGCAGGTTGACCACTAACCATTGAGTCACCACACCACCCTTCAACTACCTAAATAATCAATTTATATTAAGGAGATTGTCTGTATTTTCACCCCTAGTGTTGCTGCTGTGTAAAATCTGCAGCCAACCTAAGCTAACGAATTAGCATCTGGTTGCTTTTAATGCTTAAAATGTAGTTTTTCCAGGAGGTGGGACTTTTCCAGGCGTATTGGGTTGTTCTTGAGGTGATTCAGCAGCAGTGAAATTCTTCATCTAAAGGTTTCATGAGGATTTTGCGCAGACAAGCTAGGAGTATATGCAAGTTTTTCGACAGGGCTGCCAGAGAGTCAGAACTCTTTTTGTGTGAAGTCAGCTTAAATATATCCACCACAGGAAATGAGAACGAGGAGGAAAGTTTTGAATCCTGCCTTGTTCAGAATTTATGGTGCAGGTAATAATTTTACCCCCTCTGGTGAGTGGTACAGTCCAGTGGGCTTTGTGACATCACCTGCTTCCTCACACTGTGTTATTCAGCAGCACACAGTCTAAACTCAGGGCTGCCAAACAAGCAGCTCATTAGCCCCACCTATAGACTTACAGGATTGGTGGATCAGACAGTATCGCCACAGCCCACCTCTCTACCGAAAGACTCAAATCACCCTCCAAAAGGAGAGAGATGAAGAAGACCGCCACCCAGTCCCTAGTTCCTCAGGGACAGAAACTCTGCATGGTGTTCTGGCCTTCTGTTGGCTGCATATTAGTACCACACTCTTCTAGTCAGTCAGTGACACATGGCTGTGCTTCAGTGGATGACTGAAGGACCCTCTGTTTGTCCTAGAAATCCTGACCAAAAAGTCAAACTACCGGAATCTCCTCCTGGTCCTAATGGGGTCATATTTCTACTAAAAGCTTTTTGTCAGGCACTAACCTGGCCATTCCTACATAATTACTATAGTCTGGAAGTATCAGCTACAGAATTAAATTGTATATAACATCTACAGTGATGCAATTAAGCAACAAATTAAATTATAATGCATTCATATTCTGTTAATATGGATTCCTTTATTATAAACTGACATTTTAAAAACTGCAACTGAATATGAGTGTGTAGGACTAGAGAGAGCCGTTTTCTACCCGAAGCCATTTGATGTTGACAGTTCAGTTTGCACCATGGCTGTGACTGTCAGGCCTCCTATTGCTTGTTTATTTATGAGGACATTGAATCTCTGCCGGCGTGTCGACACTAAGCACCTCAGAATTGTACCCATCCATCCATGGATGTAACTGCTTATCCCATTCAGGGTCTTGGGGGTCTGCAGCCTATCCAGGAGGCCACAGGCACAAGACAGGGAACAACCCTTCGCAGGGCGCAGTCACGCACACCATTCACTCACACATGCATGTGTGAGCGTGGCATTATGGGTAATTTGGCAACTCCAGTTGATCTCATGTTTTTGGACTGTGGGGGGAAACTGGAGTACCTGGAGGAAACTCCACAATGACACAAGGAGAACATGCAAACTCCACACGCATGGAGTCATGGCGGAGACTTGAGCCGAGGTCCCAGAGGTGTCAGGCGACAGTGCTG